CCTAAACCCCTAAACCCTAAGCTGCCAGAAACCTCAAATCCAAAACCCGCAGCCGTAAAGATGAATCTGCAAAATCCAAATCCGACCTGTAGCCTTAACTGAGTAGTATTTTACTTGGGGANNGGATACTATGGTACCCAATATATAGTAAGATTCTATCCTCCTTTTGGGTATAGTATTTTATATAAGGAAACCCTAAACCCACCACCAATATTAGGAATATAATCTTACTAGGTTTAACCACAAAAACATTACTCAACTGCCTCAACCTTCAGGACCCCCAGGGGGAAGTTGGTAGGGTTTAGGGTTTAGATTTTAGGGTTTAGGGGTATAGGGTTTAGGTATTCAGGGTTTTAGGGTTGAGGGTTTTAGGGTTGAGGGTTTTAGGGTTGAGGGTTTAGGGGTTTAGGGTTTAGGTATTGAAGGTTTAGGGTTTTAGGGTTTAGGGTTTAGGTATCCCACCACCTTGTAACCCTGAGGCGTATTGCAGAATCCTTCTTATAGGGGCCGCATGTAGCTGAAGTACATTGTATCCCAAAACCCGACTGTAAGGACTCAAGGCCCCTACATTACAACCCCAAGCAGTTCCCATTTCTTCCCATTTGATTTCCTATTATTCGTATAATCTGAGGCCCCTACCTTAGACCTTATATAACATTTTTTCTCTGACTGACGGGACCCCACATTGCCCCCCAACCCTAAATCCTCGACCTTGAACCTAAACCCTAAACCCTAAACTTTAAACCCTAAACCCTGAACCCTAAACCCTGAACCCTCAACCCTAAACCCTAAACCTTAAACCTTATACCCTAAACTTTGAGGCATGGTGGCGACTTCGTGGGCCTCATGAACAAGCTGCCCTACATCAAGGGCCTGGGTTGCCAGGTGCGGGTTTAGGGCTTAAGGTTTAAGATTGAGGGTTTAGGGTTGAGGGTTAGGGTCGAGGGTGTAGGGTTTAGGGTTGGGGGGTTGAGGGTTTAGGGTCTAGGGTTGATCTAAACGTCCTTTGGGGGAAATGTTTACGGTTCCTGTCAATTTATAACTATACGGGGGAACTGCTTTTCCATGTTGGCCAGCTTGGTAGAAGAAACTTTGAGCAACTACCAGGTGGATGTGGATTGTGGGATTTGCAGGGCGTTTGAATCAGCAGGCTGCTGAACGTGCGTTTCCCGAAGATTTCCATTCTGCTTACTTTTTCTTTAAGATACAGTATCTACCCAAAGGCGATGTGAAAGGACTTGCTGACAGACCAGGGACGCGCAGTGGTCATGGGTCATACTTTCTTGTCATATTTGACACAGTCGCCCCAAAGCGTACATATTCCTGATTCATTTCTACTTGTGGTTAGTAGGGAAATTCGGGTTTCCCAAAATTCGGGGCGCCTTTTTTTGGGATCCCTCTAGTGATATTATAGTATATTGGGGTCTATATTGGAAGAAAAGGCCCCGCAAACCTACTCAACTTGAAGCGGTGCTGAATATAGTAAGCTGAATAAGCCTGTAGAGTTTAAGGATTTAGGGTTTGGGGTTAAACCCCAGCCTAAATCCTTAAACCCTGCACCACCCCACATAAGCCCAAAAGCCGGAGCCCTGGGCTTTGAAGTTGAATCCTGAAACGTGAACATCCCCTGGTTTAGGGTTTAGGGTTAGATTGACTGTGACAGATCCTCGGGCCCTTTTGTGTACCAATATTATGGTTCTATATTGCTTGCATAGCTATACTAGAAGCTACCTCAAATAAAGCTCGCAATTATGTTGTTAGTTATCTAGGCCCCTATCGTGTATCCAACCATTCTGAGCTTGAATGGGTAAGACTCCTCGAGTATCCCAAAGCCTAAAGCCCTTGCATCAGCCAATCTATGTATATAAACGATACTACAGTAGGATGCTCAATGTGATTCAATGCTTGTGGTATGGGGCTCCCTGGCGTGCTGGCGCTCCATAGGGAGTCAGAGGAGGGATCCTTAAAACAGTCCCTACATCCCCAAAATCATACGATTGGTCGTTTCTATTCCAGTTTCATTCCTAACTCTTAACCCCACACCCTACCTAGAAAGACAACAGCCCATAAGTCGGGTCTACATTCCCCGCATTTCCTACAACTCTGGGTCAAAGTAGCTAACCAGGCTTTCCAGGTCTGACTTAAGGCACAAAATAATCGAGACCCCCAGAACTTAACAGCCAAACCTGAAACCAAAACCCCTGAGACCTACACCCTAAACCGTAAACCCCGAACTAAAGCCCCGGAAGGAGAACACACTAGTTCTCCCCTTCACCAACACCCCTAAACCCTAAACTGTAGACCTAAACAAGCAAATGGTTTCCACGTCTTTTTGCCACTGCCTTTCTGGCCACCACTAAATAAAGCCCTTCAGTTCCCATTTCATTTTCGACTTGCTTTTCCGCTCGACTTTCGGTTCCCTACCCTGGAACCTTAAGTTTCCCAAAGCCCTGAAACCCCAAACAGTACTTGGGGATTATAACAGTACCCCCAGATTTCCAACCCTCTTAGGCCTTCTTAAGCCCTATAGACTTCTTATCAGCTCCTTAAACCCCGGGAATTACCTTTGGGCCCGGGGGGTCCTTACCTATTTTTTCCGCTGAGTTGAATCGCCAGGCCGTTTGGATCTCGCCGATCTTTCAGAATGGCTTCAACTTTTACCATCAGCATCTTGGCCAGGAAAATTGTGGTTTAGGGTTTAGGGTTCAGCTTCTTGGCAGCTTTGAAGGGTGGTTTATGTAGAATGTAGTGCTCAACTGGCTTCATGTCAGGCTTTAGCATTATCGCTGCTTGTCCAGGAAGGTGGTGTAGGGCGCTGGGTTTAGAATAGTAATACTAGCACGAATAATACTAGTAATAGTAACAATAACAGCAATAGTAATAATAGTAGTAGTAATAATCAGACAATAGTGGTCTGGAGTCTAGACCTAAGCCCTAAACCCTAAACCCTAAACCCTAAACTTTAGAGTTTGGGGTGTGGAGTTTGGGGCTCTGCCTAAAGGCTGTCCTTCTGGAGTGATACCGAAGTCGCCTCGACCTGATAGAACTAGACAGAGTTATTTTCCGGTTAGGGGCTATGAGACCTCATAGCCCTAAGCCCCAAACCCTAAACCCTCAACCCTGAAACCTATAAACCAAAAAAACATAAAACCGAAACCCTAAACCCTAAACCCTGAACCTTAAACCTTAAACCCCAGTGTACAAGAGATGCAGGGCCTGTCCTTACCATGGACATTGAATTCTCGGGTATTGCCAGTGAACATGCGGTTGTCATAGGGCTTTGTATGGCGCTGCTATCCTCATCATGGGTACCCCACTGAAACATGCTGATTAGGATAAAAGCCGGATCTCTAATCATTCCCTGCGCTTTTACTACGTACTGTTGATGGATGAAATCTTGCACCACCTAGGGGCCCGAAAATGCTGTAATTCCTAGGACTTTAGGGGCTTAAGGTGGTGCAAGATTTCCTCCATCAACAGTATGGCGAACCCTGAACAACCCTACACTATCCTAAGTGCCCCAGTTGAAAGATTTTGCGGTAGTCGAGGTATCCTAAGAGGTGCCAGGCCCAAACCCCAAACCCCAAGACTTCTTCCTTAGGAGGATCCCCCACCCTGTAATAGTGGCTATAAGGGATAATAAGGATTATACGAAGGTCCCATTATATTCCTATTATGCCACTACTACAGGGTGGGGGGGTCCACCTAACTTCTTGCACAAACCGAATCAGGGCTGGCATGAACCCAGACACTTGGGTTGTTCCCAAGATTATGGGCCCCTTTAGGTTCTAGCTTACATTATGGCATTTAATGAAGAGGGGTACCAAAATGGTATCCTAATTTCGGGAACTACCCACTTGTTGTACAATTTTTTGAAGGGGGTCAGGATTCAGGGTCTATAGTCCCCCTTAAGTAGATATACTATGGGGTATATGGGGATGTTATTATAATGTACCCAAAGCCATATTCTATCCCTAAACCCTAAAGCCCCTTTCTTCTGTGAGGTATGCACAGATAGACTTCACGCTGCTGGACCAACGAATGGGCACCTTGCAAGAGCTCCGCAACCTCGTCACCGCAGCGCACGACCTGGGAATGTACGTGATTGTGGATGTTCCATGCTCAGAGTCTAGGGTTTAGGTTCTAAGGCAGCTTCCAGAAATGTGGAGATCCCAATGAAAACCAAAGGTATTATAATCTCCATGATAAAGAGGCCTAAACAGGGACCCCTAATTTTTTGGAGGCTTCCATTGTCAGTTCTGAAGACTTTTAGTCTGGCTGAAGGGCCAATTCTTGTAGCAAATTGTTGTGTGAGCTGGGTTTAAGGGTTGAAGGTTTAGGGAGGGAGGGACACCGATTAGGTACAACCAGATGGCATCCTATAGCTCTTTATTATATATAAACTACATAATGTGTCAGCAATTTTGGGACACTGCAAGGTTGTGATGAACCACATGGCCAACGAGTTCTTCTTCGAGGGTCATGAGTACACGCAGGCCCCATTCAGATTTCACGAGGAGCAGGGCCTTCGCGAATATTTGTTGCAAGTGCGGAAGAAGGATGCTCGGTTTTGGGTCTAAGGTTTAGGTTTTGATGGACCCTGGATGTCCTTTTGTTGGGTTGTCTCCTACATTTCTGTGTAATGATTTTTGGGACGTCTTCAGAGGGTAACTAGGGTGGGCAGAATTCGCGGTCACAAATGGTGGGCATGTCTCGGTGTGTATATCAAGTTTTGAGGTTGTTTTGTGTGACGCCTTGGTAAACTAGAGTGTTATCTTGGATATGTGGCAGATCCCGACTTTAAGACCCGTGCAAGTGGGCCATTGTCCATTGAGAGCATGATATGGAATGGGAGAGATGTGGGATTTTTTAAAAACAGTTCTTATGAATCCATAAAGAAACCCTTGTAGTCTGCCGGTAGTCCGCACAGAACACTCAGGGTCCCCAAGCCTTCGGCTTTTCTAAAGAGACACACGAACTTCATAGGTTTCGATCCTAGCGACGGGACCCTCAGCGACACTAGAGGTGGGTACCAGCTGCAGAGGCTTAAGAGTCTACTCTTAGGATCATATGAGCTACTGTCTAAACTCCTGGTATTCCCCTTAAGAAGCCCTATAGTAGTCCCCTATATACTCCCCAATATATTCCCCTTTAAGGAGTTTAGACTATGGTTCATATAAGGGATCAGATGCAGCTCCACATCGCGCGCATGTAGCGCTCGAAGAATGTTTATTGCAGTCCTTCCGGCTCTGGGGACGCGTCCTTCTGGGTTGTAGCAGCCTGTGTCTATGGTTCGTATGGCAGCCGTGCTGGCCCCATGTAGGAGTTCTCGCACAATTTCTGCACAGTCCGTCGGAGGCTCCGCGTAGTCCCCTAGGCTCCATAACAAGCATTGTTGACAATAGAGGTTGCCCTTATCTACCCAAACTATTTTACAATCCTTGTAATGTGGATCCACCCAATACAGCGAATCCTAAGAGGTGGAATATCCATCCCACTTTCTCAGGAGCGCCCTTGGTTTGAGAAACCCAGACAACATGCCCCAAATTGCACATGCAACGGGGACGAAGATCCTTCGCCTAAGTCAACTTGTTTATCTAAGGACGCGACCTTGTTACACGACACGCCGGCCGGCAAACAGCCATACCAAGATTTCTACTATGACAACACGTGGCGCTGGCATCGTTGAATCCATTTTGCGCTTTTTCTCTATTGAAGTCCGATGAACAAAAAACAGATAGATCTACACTTGTGCAACGCACTTAAAATAGTTCTTCAAAAAGGCTATTTGCAGGATCAGGGGGACGTAGTAAGCAGGTCAAGGGGTTAAAAGTCGACTTCCTAAGTCCGGCTGACCTTCCAATTCCTCATCCACCAAAGATGGGCCCACTCGGGATTCCATATGTGTTCGGGTCAGGTTCGTGCCGAACCTCCGATTATCATCCTTACTTGAGGGTTGAGGGTTTCTAGTGTCTGGGGAACCAAAAGATTTCCATGTTACCGGAATGTAACTCCGCGCTGCAGAAACGCTGTGGGCTTCCGATTGTAACTTTTGTAAGGAGCTTAAGCCAGTTTTCCCGCCGCGAGCAAAGTCTCAAACCCGATTTGTGGACAAAAACGGATATTTAGGTTGAATGTCTAGCGTGGTGCGGTATTCGGCTGACACATAGTTCTTTTGCAGCGGGAAAGCGAGTTACGTAATTGTACATCGTTGGGAATATTCAGTGCATACTTGTAGTACAGTTGGAATATTCACAGCATAGTTGTACCGCTGTGGGAATATTCTTTCATCTTGGGTTCCAGGGTTTACAGTTTTTGGGCAGGGGCAGAAGCTTCATGTTGTCGACGGTGTGACGACATCTGACCTTCATTGCTTCAAAAAAGGGGTAGGAAAAGTCCTTATAGCTCAGGGATTTCGGGGACAAATGCATGTGTACAAGGCTCGGGTGTTGCATAGATTGGCATAGATGAAGCAACTAGTAAGGTGTCACAGGATCCCGTTTGAAACTTGATGACAGATACTTCTTGACGATTTTTTAAAGAGGCTGCCATGCTTTAAGCATCCCTCCCCCCCCTCCCGCCACCCCCCTCAACATAGGAAGAGAGTCCCAAAGCCCAGGAATATACCTCAAACCCTTACCCCTAGACCCTCAAGGTATGTTGGTAGACCCTATAACTGACATCAGTCAAGGTGGGTTCCGTCCGCAAAGTACAACGGCACACTGTACGGTCAGTATGGCGAGTGGGTCACTGACGCGGGGCCGCTGGGTCCCAGCTGGCAAAAGGGGTCGCTCTTTTTCAGGGTTCCGGGTTTTGAGATTTAGGTTTTAAGGTCTATGGTGTAGAGGTTTAGGGTTTAGGGTTCTGGGGTATATTGGGAGGAAGCAGAGACAACACAAAGGCCAAGGGATCTATCAGACACTCTACTGGTTTTGGGTCTCAGAAGCTAAGCTAACATGGAATCTAAAAACAAGCGTTTTGCAGACTTTTGCCCAGCCTGTATAGAGTTCCATGTTTGTTTGGTGGGCTCAAGTAGTAGTCCCTATACTACCCCCGCGGAATACGATATACGGCCCATAAGCCTCAACCTATAGGCCCCTTGTAGCATCCCGAAGAGGCCTTGACTAGACCCTAGAAGTGTGGCCCTGGAATACCCATTATTACAATTATTACTATAATTACTGTTACTACTATTATTACCATGATTACTATCATTACTGTTATTACTGTTCTGGCCATCACTACTGAACCCTTGGCTGCGCACCTGTTTGCTCCTGGGTTTCTGGCTTCTCCAAGCACCCTGAACTGTTGTTCATGGTTAGGTGGGGTAAAGCAGGGTTTCTGTTAGGGAGTCTAAGTCGGCGTTGCCCAAAATCTGTTTACATTTTTTTGGGGCTATTTTGGTGATTACATGTTTTGGGGGGTCTATCTAGGGGTCCAAGCTACTATAACATGGACATAGAGCAAAACAGTTTCCTAGGTATTGTAAATCAATGCAAGTGGCGCAACAGCAGCCCGAAGAAGCCGTTCTAGATCGTTAAGTTGAAGTCGCGGGAAGTGTCTGCCTTTTTTGTCGCATTTTTTGTCATGGATCCTTATAATATGTTGGCTGACCCAAAGCTCTTAAGGCCGTAAACCCTAATATCCGTCTGAATCCCTGCGGGCCCTTAGCCCTGAAGCCTAGATCCTGAATCCAGAACCTTTGCAAGGCGCACCTAAACCCTAAACGGCAAGGTCCGGCACTTACGACTTGTCTGACTTCCACCACAACGGAGATCTGGTGGCTTGATCATGGTTGCACACGCTTTTGCATTCAGCGTTCTAAGTTTTAGCGTTCACGCTTGAAGGTGCGGGATTTAGGGTTCTAAGGTTTGGGGGTTTCAAGGTTTAGGTTTGCGGTTCAGGGCTTTGTGATTAAGGTCTAGGGTTTGTGGTCAAAGGTAAGGGTCTTCTGGTGTTCATGCATGTCAACACCTTCCAAGTAGCACGCAAGAAAGATGCCGAACCCTCAAACCCTGCTAAGCATTCAGAGGTTTCGCATCAAACACAAAACCCAAAATGCGAAACCAGAAGCTCGAACCTCTAAGACCTCGGCCCCAAACCTTGCAACCAAAGCCGTAACCCCTAAACCCTGAAACCCCAAGCCCTACGCCCTAAACTACCAGGTCGATTATTTCGACCCGTGGGAGATCAACTTTGGGAAGATCTACGGCACGATGGATGACCTGAGGCTGGAACACTGGCGTGTGCAGGAGAAGTATATCGCATCTTGCTCGGCGATTGAGGATAAAGGTTTAGAGTTCAGGTCAGGATGTTCCTGCGGTGATGTGGATTGGTGCATTGGACTCGTTATGTAGGAACCTCCAAGAGGGACCCAGGATCTTAGAAGCCGATTTTCAATGCCCGTAAACCTGCATCTACGATACCTGCCATGATATAGTTTGTAGAAAACCCTTCGCAGTATTACTTAAGCCCCGAAAGCCCCTTCCAAACCTTCCTTAGATGGTCCCATGCCGATAGGAGAACTGAACTGTACCAGGTTGTGCCACACCTCCCTAAACCCTAAACCCTAAGCCCTAAACCCTAAACCCTAAACCCTGTTCCGTTCACATCTGAGGCTATGACCAAGGCTCTCATCGAAAGCTGCGATGTTGATGGCTATCGTGTCGCACCTGGGATGCGATTTAAAGTTTAAGGGTGTAGGGTTTAAGGGTGTAGGGGTTTAGGGTTTAGGGGTTTAGGGGTTTAGGGTTTAGGGTTTAGGATGCAGTTTTGCCCATATTCTCCCTGGGATCCCTCTCGGTCCCTACATCTGCGCGAGCCCAGAATATGGGACCTTTACTTTCCACTGTAACAGCTGACTTCCTGGCTTTAGACCTTCAATCCTAGACGTAGGGGTGTTATATAGGGCATTATATAGGAGGAGTATTATAGGGATTCTCCAGGGGATGCTATAGCTCAAATAGCAGCTGAGCCTGCAACCTAAGCACCACTGATTCAGACCGCTCTGGAAGTACCTTTTTCTGAATCTGCCTGGTACCCTTAGGGTTTAGGGTTTAGGGTCCATCAGCCTTTGTCAAAATCTAATATCTGTAACACAATGTAGGCATCGTTGCCCGAAAATCCTCTCCTGCAAGTGTTCCGGACGCTGTGCACCGGATACGTCTAGGCAGGTCTACATGAACCACCCTATACACCACAACATACAATCTAAAACCCGAACTCTAAACCCTAAACCCTAAACCCTCAGTCCTAAATCCTAAACCCTAAATCCTGAAGCATATGCATGTACAACCCAAAGCCGCAAAGCAAAGAGGGGTATGCCTACATGCCTTGTAAAAGGGACCCTATAGTACGTCCTCATATCCTTTTTAAGAGACTCAGCTTCTTAAACGGATCCTTATATGGGGGTTTCCAAAAATTAGAGGTAGCATTTTGGGGTCGATATAATATGGATGATAGTACTTTGGGGTCTATATTGGGGTCCCTCTACTTAGGGAAAGTACCATATATCCTTACATTCCCTTTCTAAGTGACCCTAGACCCTAAACCTGAAGCCTAAGCCCTAAAGCTCGTAAACCTGAAGGATACCATGCAGCCCGAAAGCATCCACACCCATAAAGCCTATGTTTTTGTAAAGGGACTCTATACAACCCTATGTCCCCCTTTACAGGGGCCGTGTATCATCCCTTCGCAGTAAATTGATATGCGTATGCCGTAAACCCTGCGCCCTAAACCTTGAATGCTAGACCCCCAAACTTCCAACAAACCTGAAGGATACGCCTATGCAAGTTCCGCTGAACTTTTTCAAAGCCTGGGCTCCCGCCATGCGGGACCATGCGGCGTCCCTCGGGAAGGAGCGTGGCTTGGACTGGATTCGAGGATTTTTTGGGTTTAGGGCTGAGGGTTTCAGGAATTTGGGCGTGGGATTTAAGTTTAAGGGCTTAGGACTTAGGTTTTGGCTATGTTTCCTAGAGATAATACCCCGCTCCCCGAACAATGAAGATCCTGCCCCAGTATTTGAAGAGGTAGGTTTCAATACTGTAGGGGGAGTGGATGAGAAGTCGCAACATTGTACACAGTAGTAAAGGACCGTGGACAATTTCTCTATAAACAAGTCCCTGTCGTCATCTTGGATCCGTTATGTATGCTAGGAATTCCCACGCTTTAGACATTTTCTTGTCTCCATGTGGGGGTTTCCATATGTTAGCAGGCTCTTGCTTATATTAGGGATTGTACGCTTGAGGGTTTTATATTGCGTGTTGCTACGCAGCAGAGCCCCACTTTAAGGGTTGCAATGCCATTTGCGTTCATGCAAGTCTGTTGGGAAAGATTCGTCTCGGAGATGGTCAGGACAACACAAATTTTCTAGCACGTCATGCAAAGGTTGTCGCAAGTCCAAGCCCTAAATCCTAAATGTCCAGCCTCCTCTCATATATACATGGGATCCATGTACAGACTATTGGGGGCTAGTGGGGCTCATTGGTGCTTGTTTTGCGTTTGGGCGGGGTGCCTCTTATAAGGGACCCCTTCTCAAGCCAGATCGCTTGATTTCGCATCTATACCGTCTATACCAAATATGATATAGACATATAGATTTATGTATACATCTGCTATTAGAATGAATTGAGGTTATGTGATCGTTTGGAGGATCCCCTGTGTCACTAGACCCTCAAGTCGCTAAGCCTCAGCCTAAACAAACCCTACATTCACTAAACCCTGAATGCTTTGCAACCGAGGCTTCGGAATCTTCGGCGAGTTCTACGTAACGCCTTCGCGGTATGCGACGATGACGGGCAGGGGCCGTGACAACACTATGCCGGTTGCTTAGCCTTGCGGTCACTTGAACGTCACGGCGTAGTTGCAGGTAGGGTGGAGGATCTCGCCTTCGAGGTAGTCAGATTTGCATGGGCAACTGATAGACTTTCCCGAGCTGTGCTTTTGTCCTGGCTTTGTGGCTTTTAGCGCTATTGGTGACTGGTGTTTGTTTTTTCTCTGGTGGGAGACGGTGCAGTTTCAATAGTGTTGATCATCAAACGTATGTGAAGCTACAGCGACAAAAGCAAAGATGCTTATCTCGTCTGATAGATGCATCCTGCCACTTCTGTGGGCAAACTAGTTAACCTCTGGCATCACCATGAAAAGCAGAGTTATCCTTGGGACAAGATGTCCTGTTGCCTTGTTGAGGTATGGGCAGGATGTCTACATTGATGGTATCGCCACATTGAAAGGTGGCATCGTGTACCCATACTATTGGTACATCTTCACGGCGATGGTCTACAAGGACTCGCAGTATGCGGACGGCTTGGTTTTGGCATACAGGGAAGAGAACAAGATGATCGACATCTTCGATCCCACCACAAATCGTTCCGAGTACGCTATGTGGACCTTCTGCAACAACCACGATTCTTGGGTGCTCTCACAGGAATTTTTCCGGTGTCAAGATCGTGTAGCCTAGAAATCGCAACTGTTGCAAGGAACCCGGCGAGTGTGGAAGCTGAAAAACCCTAGACCCTAAACGCGTTGGTTTTGAATCCAAGGACAATTGGCGTATGCAGAGTATGACTGGAAAGGCAGAGATGAGAATGTGTCTGGCCGTCATCACTTTTTGGCGCTGCCCTCAGTCAACCGTAAGTGGCTCCAACTCATGTTGCCTCTAGGTGTTCTTGCATACAATGTACAGGATTGTTGGTGTCTCCAATGGTGATACAAAATATTTGGCAGCTGGATGGTCCCTTTACATGGGATAGTAGGATACATATGTATACATGTACATATAGGTTTAGGTATATATATATATATTATGTACATATAGATATATGTAGGGTTTAGGGATACGGTTGATACCAAACATCAGCGCATGATCCTAAGTACCAACCTACCTTTGAATTGTACCTGCAGGTTTTGTGTTGTACCCTAAGCACCAATTCCTTAAACCTCTAACCCTAAATCCTAAACTCCCTAAGCCCTAAGTCTCTGTTTCAGAATCTTGCCCGAGCCCACTTCTACCTTGGCAACCTGTTCCCTGATCCCAGACTCTAAACCGTAAACATTAGCTCTAAACCCAGGTCCCAAATGGTATGGAATTTGTCATTTTCTTTTTCCATCCTTTTACAAACCCTGCACAGCCCCTTTTATGCGCGGTGGAGGGTTTTGTATCCTAATGTTTTAGTAGTTTCGAAATTTTTCCATATCAAGCCCATAAACCCCTATATCGCCCTCAAACCTTAAAACCCATATAACCTTCTCAACCCTAAACGCCTACATAAGCCATATTTTCCCTTTAAGTAATAGGAAAAAAGTGCTGAGGCCAGGCGTCCCCCTTCACTATGCAGGCGATGAGCAAGACCCTGGGTCGCTGTTAAGGAATCAGGGTTTAGGGGTTTAGGGGTTTAGGGCTTAGGGTCTAGGGTGAACTTCAGGAAACCTCATCATGTATTATATACCAATAACATGGTAACTTAAGCTGAAGTTACCAAAGTTAGGGTTTTAGGGTTTGGGGCGTGTTTTATGTTTTGTTTTTGGGTTTAGGGCCTAGAGTTTTTTACCATATACGGATTAGATGATGACTTAACATCAGTTCCTTGAATCCCTACACCCTAAACCCTAAACCCCTAACAGCAGCCCAGGACTTCGACACGCCCGGGAGTGCGCTGGACGGCTGGGCACGTGAGGCGGCGATGGGGTGTCCCAGGGCTCAGGGTTTCGGGTTTAGGGCTTGGGGGTGTGGGGTTCAGGGTTTAGGGTTATAGTGAGGGTTATCTTGACATAATGGAAAATACAATGGAAACTGCTATTTAGGGTTTGGGTTTTAGGGGCCTTGGGCTGAGGGTTCAGTGTTTAGGGTTTTTGATTAGGGTTTAGGTTGTGGGGTTTATAGGATTTGGGGGTTTGGGGTTTAGGGTCTTGGGTGGGGCTAGGTTTTACGGCGTGGGGATGGGAGGTTGTTGCTGTTTGGAATTTGGGTTCGGGTTGTGATTTTGGTTCGGGTTGTTAAAGTAGGCCTTGTATTTGTACTCCAAAACACGTTGCAGTGTCTTGCCATCGCTGCCCGGTACCCCAAAGGGCCCCAATATTTCGAGGATAGCCAATTTCTTGAGATATTCTGGATTTCGATTGGATCCTGTCTTCTAGCTTGGCGTTTGGACCTGACAAGCAAAGGACGCTGACATGTGGCGGTCCTACTGTTGGTGATTTGAGGATCAGGACGTCGAGACCTTGCAAGGTCTCAACATCTTTCCTTCCTAGCCCCGCAGAGTGAACCATATTTGTTGTCCTTGGATAATAATCTACGTGCAGCCTGAAAATCTCTGATAAGCACAGGTTTTCCCGAACAATCCTCATATTATTCTCGTATCATGTGCCCCAAGGCCCTACGTGTGTTTCCAGGCCCCTACATGCAACATCTACACATCCCGATGTAATCCAAGATTCCATTCAATTTCCTGTTTTTCTTCCAGTTAGTTCTCCACTTTTCTGATTAGCTGGGCCCCTACACATAATCCTACATAGCCTCTGTAAAGTGCCTGTTGCCACTTCATTTCTGAGCTGCACTTTCCTAATTCTTTGGACAGGCCTCGGCACCTATGAGCCCTATTTCACAAATTTTGGCCCCTCCCTACATGGGTGTTTCTCAAAAAATCCCTGTATGCACTCCAAATGAGGCTCCTCCATAGTTCCCCTATACTCCGTTTATGTCTTGTTCCCTGGAGCATTCCTTGTTGAGAAACCCTAAACCCCTAAACATTATGCCATTCTTCTACGAAGGAGCTGAGTGCTTCACTGGCTTGGCAAGCGATCCGGACGGGCCCCAAGGGCAACCCCGCTGACCGCTACTAGGAAGTCCAGTAGTACCCTTTAACCTTTTTGGGGGTTACATAGGGATTTAGGGATTAGGGTTTAGGGTTTAGGGTTTAGGGATTAGGGTTTAGGGATTAGGGGCAAGGGTTTAGGAATTAGGGTTCGAAGATTAGGGTTTAGGGTTTAGGACCAGTGGTTTTATTTTACCCTTGTTGGGTTCTGGGTTCCTGTATGTACGTTACCTAACAACAAAGAGGGTATCCTTATTGTAATATAGCTACCTGGCTACCAAGGCGATAACTTCGACATGACAAGCGAGACCTACCGTGGCTTGGACTGCAGATGTTTTGGGTGTTTCCCTTAGGGTTTAGGGTTTGCGGTTTGCAGTTTTTGGTGCTAGGTCTAAGGTTCAGGGGGTTGTTTGTTTTAGCTTCGGGCTTAGGGTTTCAGGCCCTAAGCTCTGAGAATTCAGGGCTGATCGTTTCGGGTGTAGGTTTTACAAGTAGGGTTTCAGGCCCAAATACCCCCAAAACCCCTTTTACATCCCTCGGTTCCCTGGGTGGGTCGCATGTTGAGAAACCCCAAACCCTGCATGTCCATATAACACCCCTTGACAGTGGCCTATGGGCTTCAGAGGCCTGCAGTAAGTTGTGGCCGAGGCTACATTGCTCGGCTGAATGCGCTTCGACGATGGTACTTCGGCGACTTCGGAAGGGCGGAGTGCGATGCCGTGTCGGCGCCCAACCCGCAGATCCCAGGATTCTGGGTTGCGCTTGCGAAGGGTTTAGGGCCTTGGGGTTTGGGACAGATGTAGGGGCCCCCGATTTCGAGAAATTTCCTTACAAAGTCTCTACTATTACAATTACTATTATTATTACTATTACTATTACTATTATAATAACTATTACTATTATGGAAAGCTTTTGAAAGTCTTGAACCTTGAGGAATCCTCGTGTTCGAGCGCGGCTGCACCAGCCTGACCAAGGTGGGAGGTTTAAATCTTGGGTTTAGTGTTTTAGGGTTTAGGGTTTAGGGTTTAGGATGGTTCTGTTAGGGATCTTGGTGAGTGAATATAGGCTTTCTTAGGAATAGTAGTGATTTTAAAGCCTATTTGGAGTGCCAATGAAACTACCAGGTTCTGGTGATCGCCAGTTTTGAGACCGTGCAGAACAAGACAGTCAGAGTTCCAGTCTCGTGGGTACCTGGGCTGCGAGCTCTTGCAAGGACTTTTCAGGTTAAGGGTGAGGGATTAAGTGTTAAGATTTGGTAGTTTCCCAAAACAGGGGGACCCCAATACAGACCCCAAAATACTTTAATCCTTATTATAGGGAACCTCCGAAAAATCCCCCTGAATTTGGGAAACCCCAATTTAGGGTCTAATTATCAAAGCTATCGTGCGCCCGCCTCGGCTGGCGGGGTGCGGCGCACACGAATAGGTCATGACATGTAGTTGACACGTGGGGTTTAGGGTCGAGGGAGTAACGGGGGCAAGCCTTTGTTGCATGCATGTTGCAGCATTCATGGAGGGGGTTGGCTAGGCTTAGTCCATCAGCCTTCAGTGAAGGAGTTCGCAAGCTTCAAGAGCTGGAGAGCTGGACGCATAGGTATCCTGAAGAGGGGGGGAGGGGGGGGGGGCAGCTTCAAACCTGGGGCGAAGCTAGAAGTTCACGGGAAGGGAGGGGGGGGTTCGCCACGAGTGAAGAGGTCTGCAAAAGCGGGGGTGTAGGGGGTTTTAAGAGAGTTCTGAATGCCCTAAGGCTGGATAGCCTCGGCGAATTATACTTTTTAGGGATCATGTTTCTCTATCATCCATTGTGTCGAGTGAGATTAACCGCTCAACGCATTGGGAATAGCAGAGCCATTGATCCCTAACACCGTTACATCATAGGGCTTAGGGTTTAGGGTATGGTTTTCGGATTATTGGCCTCAAACCTTCCTTTCCAACATGGTATGAGCAGCGGCTGAGGTCAGTGGTACGCAGCTCAGCGACAGTCTGGAGGTTCGGACTGCGAGAAATCTGAAGCCTTCCCGTAACATCCTTAGAAGGGATGATGTGGGGTATATCAGGGTATGTCGGGATATGTATGCGTATATAGGGATATATCTATATACATACATACATACATACGTACATACATAGGAATATGTAGAGGTTTATGTAAGGATTGTTAAGGGTTTAGGTTTCTGAACTTCTGAAGACATTTAGGTTCCCTGGGGCCCCCTTTTTTTGGAAATGTTGATTTGAGGGTTTTGGCTCAGGACTTAGGATTTGAGAGTTTAGGATTTAAAAAGCCCGCATACCCTGCACCTTTCAATTTTTGAGCCATGGAACCTGAATCCCAAAACCACCAAGAACTCTGAGGATTGGAGAACGTGCCTTTAGTTTGGTAGCTCGGGACCTGTTGGCGTTTTTGAGACACATGGAGTCACTTTTAACAGGAAACAGAACCTAACCTTTCAAGTAAGCCCTGTACTTTCCTTATAATCCCTCTGGTATGCCTATGCGTCCACCTTCATCTTTGCCATTTTCCACACCCTAAGCCCAACCTGCGGCAAAGCCGTCAAAAAAACCGAGCCCTAAGCCATGAGCCCAAGCTCTACACCCTAAACCCTAAAGTCTACACCCTAAACCTTAGATCCTAAACCCAAAAGTTTAGCTCCTAAATCCTAAGCCCTAGATTCTAAATCCTAAACCTTAGATCCTAAGCCCTGAACCTTAGATCCTAAACTGGTTTAGTAAACCTTAGATCTTAAACCCTAAGCCTTGAATCCTTAGCCCTAAACCCTAAACCCTAAAAACCCTAAGCCCTGAATCCGCGAGGTGCGGGATCCCCTGATGATCACAGTCAGCCCGACGCGGGACATCTCCCTTAGGTTGCCGCCGCTGTCTGCCTATGTCCTGGTGCCCGTTCCTTGGTTTTTCAGGGGTAATATAGGGTTAGAATCGGATTAATTAGGGTTATATTAGGGTTATATTAGGGTTATATTAGGGTTATATTAGGGTTATATTGGGCATAGAGGACAAGAAGCTGGAGGCTACTATTTGAGGTTTACGGTTTAGGGTGTACAGTGTTAAGGGTGCAGGGTGTTTAGGGTTCGGGGTTTAGGGTGCAGGGTGTTTAGGGTTTAGGGTTGAGGGTTTATATAGGGTTTTGGGCTCAGGCGGGGTATATAGGGATATACAGACATGTATAAGGGTATAAAGGAGTATGGAAGGATTTGCAGTACGGGGTTTGGGTTCCAGGGTTTACGGACTCCTAGCAGCCTAGCAAAATTTACAGTATAGGTTTTTGGGGGGTTAGACTATGTAGGGATATATCGGGATGCATATTATAGGGTTTTGTGGTTACGGTTTGAACAGGGGTTTCGAGGTTATATCAGGAGAGGATATTGCCCCAATGATGGCTTAACAAATCGAAAGTACATGCAAACGAAATGGACACTGAGACGTGGACACTGAGGCGAGTTATCGGCTCAGAGGATTTTATGGCTGAGGGTTTCGGGCCGAGGGGTTCAAGGCTAAACCTTAAATCCTAAACCCTAAGCCCTAAACCCATATAAAAGTCTAGGGCTCAGCTTCGGATTTAGTATTTGGCTTGGTACTTGGGCTTGGGATGCAGGCTGTAGGCTCTTGAAGTCCACGTTCAGCCCTTACATCTTTGAGGGTTTAGGGTTTAGTGTCAAGAGTGTGCATCAGTGGATGTGTGCTTTTTTTCTTTAGATGTAGGGGCGTGCTTGCGCAGCTTAGCAGTCGCACACCAACCACCCCAACTATTCTCATTTAGGGTTTAGGACTCCTTCCCCCAACCCCCCCCCTAGCAAGGAGGGCTTGCTTACAGTTTTCTTGCAACCTTACCCAGTGCAGGGTTCAGAAGGACGGCTCCGACTCTCCACAGTTCCGAGTTTCCGTCCTCATAGCGCAGCTGAAGCCCGTGCGGTTGTTGTGGCTTTTGCGTCGTGTCGCTCCGCGCATTCGGTTTCGAGCAGCTTGCCAGTGAAACACCGTTGCAGAGCTCGGCCTTAAAACAACAGACAAGCTTAGCTTCCTGCCAGAAAATTGGCCTTGCATGGAGGCGTGGATGGTATCATCAGAACCTGAACATGTTTTTGGGCCACGAGGAGGCGTTGAGCTGCCGCGGGCACTCGCGGGTTGCAAGGTGCAGGCCATGGGCTCCAAACTATTTGGGGAGCCCAGAACGTGCAAATTCTAGCCGGTCCCTGACAGGCGCTGGCAAGACCCTAGGACTGATTGGTCGCCAGAAGTCCATGTCTTGCCTTAGGCTTGGAAAGTGGCTATAGGCGGCGCTGGTGCAAGGGAAGGCTAGGAGGCCTACGACCAGAGGGCCAGGGAGCCCGTGAAGGGTTCTTCTCTAAGCAGGCGTACGGGTTTTGGGAAATTTGAAGCGCATACCGCCTGATAGTTGATAGTTTACATTCTGGACCATTAAAAGGAACCTTAGGCATGGTTTGGGATTTAGGTTTTAGGATTTAGGGTTTAGGGTTTATGGCATCTGTTCAGACTGCACGTGCGTCAGAATTTGATTTTACTCTTAGGCTTGTTCCTTCAATCTTCTAAACCCTCAGCACCGAAACCAAACACACCTGAAGCTTCAAATGTCCCTAAACCCTAAACCCTAAAACCCTAAAACCCTGGGTATCCTGAACCATAAGTCCAAAGTCCTACATCTGGAATCCAACGCTGCAAACCCAAACCCTAAGCCGCAAACCCTGAACCCTAGGCCTTAAGCCCTACACCCTCAAATCCAAAACCTTAAGCCCTGAACCCCAATCCCAAATCCTGAATCCTTAACCTTAAAGCCAAAACTTCAACTCCTGATCCCTAGCTTCTAAATCCTAAGCCGTTAGCCCTGAATCCTAAACTCCAAATCCTAGATCCTGAGCAGAGGTTCCTGTGGCGACTGTTCCGCCTTCCGTCATTTCGGTGACTCCCGCGCATGGTTCCGTGGCGGAGTGGTCAGCAGAGCCCGGCGACATCGCAACTGCACTTCATGGATTAAGGTTTGGGGTCTGGGTAGGCCCCTGGGATATTTAATATTTTCCCTAATGGCTTTCATAGAGGACCCTATATACTAATATTTTTCAAAGGGTTTTAGGGGCCAACCCAGGGGTTTAGGATTGAGGGTTTAGGATGTACAGTTCAGGGTCGAGGGTGTAAGATTGTGGTTTCAGACTTGAGAGTTGCCAGTTGTAGGTTCTACCTTTGATATTGGTAGGAGTAAGAGTAATAGTAATAGTAATAGTAATGAAAGTTGTAACAACAGTAACGGTATATGAATCATAAAAGTATTAATCATAATAGTAATGATAATAATGTTACCAAAAAGGGTTGTGACGGTTAAGCTATACGCCCCCAAATCTCATACCCAAAGCCCAAAACCCCTAAACCCTAGATCCTAAACCCTAAACCCTTCATTCTAAACCCTAAACTGTAAAGTATGTGCATTACCACGTCCCCAACCCTGAAAATCCCCAAGCCTGGAGAATCCAAATCCCAAAATCCACAGACCCTAAAACCCAAACAAAGTTTTGGGTTTAGGGTGAAAGGTTTAGGGTGAAACTCCCCAAATCCCCAAGCCCTGAAACCGCCAAAGCGATGGGGAACACCAATATCTGGCCCATTGTGCCCATTGTTGAATAATTGTTTGTGTCTTATGAGGACATTTTCCCACAAGGGAATGGTGGGACCCTGATATAGACCTCAAAGTCCTATAGTCCTTATTATTGGGACCTGCAGAAGGGTACCCCTAGTTTTGGGAAACCTCCATTTGAGGCCAGCTATTCTCCGTCTTCTTTTTATTTAGGCCCCTGCACCCCGACACCCTAATACTTAAGTCCTTAACGTTTAAGAGTTTAGGTTTGAGGTCTTATCCCCTTGAAGGAGCCATAAAGACCCCAAACCTGCTCAGGTGAATGTGACGATCCGTTTCGACCGGCCTATGCAGACTTCCGTATCAGGGTTGCCAAATAAAACCAGACGGTTTATGAACATGGGGGTTAAGGAGTAAGGGGGTTTGTGGGTTTGGGCGTTTTCGGGTTTAGGGTTAAGGAATTTGCTTCATGGATGTTGGGGTTCAGGCTTTTAAGCTTGGTTTTTAGGCACAAGATTTTCGGGGGTTGAAGCTGCAATCTCTTGCAGGTCGTGGCTATACTGCTGCGCTATATTTGGTTGAATCCAAACAGATCATGATTTTGACAATCCTGCATTTGACATTCATGAGCCCTAAACCTTAAGACCTAAACCCTGACACC